TTTATTATATAATTTTGAAAAAAAATCATTGATGGATTAAGCAAAATGTCTATATTAATGTTTTATACACATTTAATGTGCCTCAGTGATTATTGTGTTATTATTAATATGGCATCTTCAAGACCAATTACACTCTTAATGAGTGGCTCTGAGACAGACAAGCAGACAAAGACAGACAGGTAGACAGAAAGACAGACACACAGGTAGACAAAGACAGACATACAGGTAGACAAAGACAGACACACAGGTAGACAAAGACAGACACACAGGTAGACAGAAAGACACACAGGTAGACAAAGACAGACAGACAGGTAGACAAAGATAGACATACAGGTAGACAGATAAACACACAGAGATACAGACAGACACAGATATACAGGAAGACAGATACAGACAGGTTTATGTACAACAGTGAAAACAAATAGAGAGTTGGAGAGTAAGAGCCTTTCTTGCCACAATCTCCAGTGCAAGATTCAGACTTCATCTTAGGGGCCATGGTGAAATTTACTGTCCAGTTAGTACAGTTAATATAGTATGATGCTGCTGATAGGGCAGGGTTACTCAAACTGATGCTGCGTGAATGACGCATTGCCGCCGCGAGTATTGTCAAATATTGTACAGCAGTGTGCATCATCTGGCCCAGCCCAGCTGCCAGATGCACGGTCGTAAGTTGAGTGGATGTATGTCAAGCAGGTCATAAGTCGGATGGTAGGTGTATTAATAAGCTAATCAGGTCTCTTGTATTCCTTGAATTCCTAGATTTGTTATAGCTTCTTAGAGAATGCATATATAAGCAATCAATCAGTTAATTGCCTTATTAGTCTGAAGATAGGCTTAAGTTTGCCTGAAATGCTCTGCATACTAAGGGGCTGTCTGCATGCACACCTAAATGTAATCCAACTCTGTACATTGTAACGTGATGAAATAAAATTGAAACTGAGCCATATTATGAAGTAGGCTGAATATCCATATACTTGGCCATGGCTTCAAATTCAAATTTAAAACCTAGTAGTGTGACAGTCCTTGTAGTTTCAATGGTGGTAGAAATCTAATAATCATTAAAACAATTTGGTAATAACCAAAAATTTATTAAAACCATAAAAAAGGCATAGATTAATAAGAATTTATTTAGTTTAAACCTTAATTCTGCCAATCCTGCTGAGAAGTAATTTCAGATATGTAGCCGTTTTGTGACAGGCACTGAGAAGTCTGCTTATTTCTTGTATGGACTGCGAAGTTAATTGTTTTGGTATTTTGTATCTCTTGGATTTATGTACATAATGTATTACATATCACAGACAATAAAACATTCTAGTTCTGATCCCAAATAAACTGACGAGTCATCTAATTAAGAACATAAGAAAGGAGAAACACTGCAGCAGGTCTGTTGGCCCATACTTGGCAGGTCCTTTACAATCCATCCCACTAACAAAACATTTGCCCAACCAAATTTTCAATGCCACCCAAGAAATAAGCTCTGATAACTCTATCCGCTCTCATATGCAAGTCCCACTCAAATCCAACCCCTCTCACTCGTGCATTTATCCAACCTATATTTGAAACTACCGAAGGTTTTAGCCTCAATAATCCAACTAGGTAGATTGTTCCACTCATCAACTACCCTATTTCCAAACCAATACTTTCCTACATCCTTTCTAAATCTAAACTTGTCTAATTTGAATCCATTACTGCGGGTTCTCTCCTGGAGAGAGATCAAAACCTTACTAATATCCCCTTTATTAATACCCATCTTCCACTTATACACTTCAATCATGTCTTCCCTCATTCTTCGTCTAACAAGTGAATGTAATTTAAGGGTCTTCAATCTTTCTTCATAAGGAAGATTTCTAATGTTATGTATTAATTTAGTCATTCTACGCTGAATGTTTTCTAACGAAGTTATGTCCATTCTGTAATATGGAGACCAGAACTGAGCTGCATAATCTAGGCGAGGCCTTACTAAAGATGTATAAAGCTGACGTATAACTGCTGGACTTTTGTTGCTTACACTTCTTGATATAAATCCCAGCAATCTATTTGCTTTATTACGCATGCTTAGGCACTGCTGTCTTGGTTTAAGGTTGCTGCTCACCATAACCCCCAAATCCTTTTTGCATTCTATATGGCTAAGTTCAACATTATTAACCCTTTGACTGTCGCGGCCGTATATATATGTCTTATGAGGTACCGTGTTTGACGTATATATACTCATAAATTCTAGCGGCTTCAAATCAAGCAGGAGAAAGCTGGAAGGCCCACATGTCAGAGAATGGGTCTGTGTGGTCAGTGTGCACCATATAAAAAAAATCCTGGAGCACGCAGTGCATAGTGAGAAAAAAAAAACTCCGATCATTTTTTTAATTAAAATGCCGACTTTGTGGTCTATTTTCGTATAGCATTTATGGTTGTATTCTCGTTTTCTTGGTCTCATTTGATAGAATGGAAAATATATTATAGAAATAGAGGTGATTTTGATTGATTTTACTATAAAAAGAACCTAGAAATGGAGCTCAAAGTAGGGGAAATGTTTGATTTTTGGCAATGTTCAAAAGTAAATAAATGATGCCATTGTCGAATAAATGTCCAACTAGCCATTCTAATATGCAGTCATGAATGGGTTGATGTTATTTATACAATTATTACAGTATTGCAGTAGTCTGCATAATAGTAAGTCTTCTATTTTTTGTTTGAATAAAAATTCAAAATAGAAAGAAAGAGTAATATCAGAGGAGCCTGGAGACATGACTGATGAACAAAGAAAATGTTATTTTAGAGCGGGAATGTCTGCATTGCTCATTCTGGACCATATTTTGAAATTGTCATATTTTTTAGTTTTTCGTGAAATTGGCCAATTGAAAATTTCTGACCACATATTAGGTGGGTTGAAATCGGTAAATGGGCAGTTTCTTGTACTCAATCGATAGAAAAAATGGAGTTCTAAAGAAATAGCTATGAGGTTGGGCGACTGGAACAATGAAATTAGCCGAAAATAGGGCTCAAAGTGGGCGAAATTGCCGATTTGTAAACAGTGCCGAGGTCGCTAACTTCGCGAGAGCATAATTCCGTTAGTTTTCCATCAAATTTCGTTTTTTTTGGTGTCATTACAATCGGGAAGAGATTCTCTATCATTTCATAAAATAATTTTTTTTTTTTTAAATTTTGCGACACCAGGAGACACCTCAGGATTGGGGGTTGCGACAGTCAAAGGGTTAAGCTGGTAGGTGCTAGGGTTATGGACATTTCCGAGCTTTAGAACTTTACAATTGGAAATTGTAAACAAAAACTCATTACTTATTGACTTGCAGTAAATAACTATTTTCTACTTAAACCATAAAGGAAAAAATTAATGACACCCTAGTTTTATGACCATGAAAATTATTCAATACCCTCCATGGACAGCACATGTCATCATGCCTTTCATACGGCTGGACACAATGATTTAAACAATTATAAAACCATGGGTCCAGCAAGCTAATGCTTGATGCATTTCTTTATCTGTAAGTGTGGGTATTATATAAAATCATTAGAATGCACCTAAGTAGTAGGTTGGTAGGCAGCAATCACCCAGGGAGGTACTACTGTCTTGCCAAGAGAGTGTAAAACAGAAGACCATAATTGTTTTACATGATGGTAGGATTGCTGGTGTCTTTTCTGTATCATACTCATGCAATATTTCAGGTATGTTTTCCTACTTCTTACAGTTAGGCTACAATACACAGGCATTTACAAGTGCACGCACGCACACACACGTGCATATGCACACGCACACACACACCCCTCTGGGTTTTCTTCTATTTTCTTACTAGTTTTTGTTCTTGTTTATTTCCTCTTATCTCCATGGGTAATTGGAACAGAATTCTTCCTCCATAAGCCATGAGTCATAAGAGGCGATTAAAATGCCGAGAGCAAGGGGCTAGTAACCCCTTCTCCTGTATACATTACTTAAGCTAAAAAGAGAAACTTTCATTTTTCTTTTCAGGTCACCCTGCCTTGGTGGGATATGGCCAGTTTGATAAAAAAAAAAATTAGAATTCAGAGTTAATTTTCTTCAGTAATGGGGCAAAGATAGGAAAGCCTAATAAATACTTAGACATCTATATTTAAAGGAACCAGACACGAGGGTGGGCTGTACTATTGGCAATGTGGTCATGAAGACATGCTGTTGTATGTAGAAAATATGAAGCAGAGTAAATAATTCAACCAAGTGTACAATTAGCAGTCAAGGGAGATCATCAGACTCCCTAGACAGAAATACAATAGCTGAATACCTAGAAAGACATTAGGGCCATACATTCTTTCATGGGGTAGTCTCTTCTCAGATAAGAAAATTCAGAAGCTACATCTTCCTTGCTTATGCTGAATAATCTATAACTTGAGCTCTTCACATCTAGTATAATACAGCATAATCTATACTACTGTACCTTTGTTTTCCTCATTCTACTGTGATTTATCTCATCCTTTATAAGCCCATTTGATAAGTTGTGTATCTAAATACATTTACTTTTCCTAACCTTTCTAATCTGATTAAAAATCAGAAATTCCTTGCACTATATTTTCACACTGCTTTTTTTCTGCATTTTCTTAAAACTTTCTCTTACACCTTTCTAAATACTAAGCTCTGCAATTTTTCTTCCAAAACTTCCAAAAATTGCAGTCATATCTAAGCAGTTGTAATAACTCCCACTTTATACTTTAACACTAGCATTCACTCCTGTCACTATGCTTTATTTACAAAAAATAAGGTGCTAAACTTAATTTTTGCTTTCACAACCCCATCCACACACTAAAGGCAGAACAGTAACATCACATATCTTTGTTGAGATCCACTTTTACTGGAAAAACCTCCTTCAGGTCCCAATCTGGCTGGAAACTTAGATTATTTTTTTTTTTTTACATCTTTAGAATAGCTATGCACATTGGGTTTCCCAAGTTCATTAGCAAACCATAAATCAGATTGCACACGTATAACTATTTTACACAAACCAAAAAAAAATACTAACCCAAAGGAGTATCGACCAAGACGGCATTGTATAGCTCAGAGCTAGTCGAGGCAACATTGATGGCTTCAATCTGTTCAAATGTTCCCAGGGGATGGCACTTGGGCATCAACTCTGAGATTGGTCGCTGGTGAAGGGCCCCAGTGATCAGCAGTACGATATTATCAATCATATATCTAGAAAGAATTCAAATAATGCTAGTAGTAATAAATGCAGTACTGGTGTGACAGTACTGTTCAGTGAACTGCAAAAAGCAAGCACAAAACATTATACCATCAACCATTTCCACAACCTCTAATGTCACTGCAACAATACTTGACAATTATGTCTAAGTTTTACTAGTATGTCCAGTGACAATAACTCTCTAAGCTCATAAATAATTTTACAACACTGTTTTGGGCACCTCAAGTGTCTTTATTGGACAATAGCTACAGAGGAACATGAACTTATTTTCCCCCAATACAGGGAATAAGAATGGGTGCTGCAAGGTATCAAGATGACATATGTCGCAGAAGTTTTAGATAGGTCACCAAGTGGATTTGCATACTAGTGGCTTTCTTTCGTACCTACTAATATTTTATCACATGTAAACTACATTATCCTTGAACAACATTAAAAGAAATAAAAATCTGAATATCGAATTTGAAAGCCGTTTCCTTTAAATTGTATGGAATGATACATGGAATGTGCTCACTTCACAAACATTGCTCAACCCTGTCTAGTTTAATGGCAAGGCTATTTCATCACTTCAGTATTGCACCATAATAACGCTAATGGGTTTTTAGCTTTTTCATAAGTCTACAAACTCAATTCTCACCAATAAAATATTGTCCAATAAAGAATGGCCTCAGTAAATAGCATCCATATTTATAATATGTCAGGAGTGCACCTGTCATTCTATAATATTAAACAAGCCTACTATGCATAATCTAGCCACAAAAGGAAGGAGCGAGCTTGTGGTGAGCATATTAGAAAACTATCATAATTTCACTTATGTTCCTTTACACAATTCTCACATTTCTATACCTAGAAACATATACGTTGTTCAGTGAATATACCAAAGAATGGACAGACTCCAATCATGGTCCTGGCAAGTAGCAGATCTAACACTGTACCACCGAGCCATGAGGCTTTCAAGTCATGACAGGGCTGTCTGACAGTTCAAATCTCCACCCATTCTCATGTTTATTCATTGACAGTTATTATGACAAATTTACACATCTATGAGAAGAGTTGGGTGCAGATAAGTCAAGTGCTGTCTGTACACTTTTTTCCATGGCAAGCCTCATTGCTCAGTGGTACAGTGCTAAACCTGTTCATTATACCATACTAATTCTCATTCCATTTTCACATTTCATGTCATCATAGTTTAACCTTCACAGCAGTCTAGCATAATAATTACTAGAACAGTTGACCAGAATAATTACTAGAACAGTACTCTGGAAACAATATACAATCACTATAACAGTACTACTCTGGAAACCATACAAAGAGAAAATACTTACCCATAAGTAATGTAGTCAAGAAAAGTGGCTAGGGGTTCAACAGCATGATTACGCATGTGCTGAAACTCTGCCACTAGCTTATCTCGCAGCTTGTCATCAATCACTGATACTTGTATCGGTGATGCCTCATTGGCCAGGAAGTGCCCATAGTCGGTGCTCTGTAGATGCAGCTTCAGATCTTTGGTAAAGATTATGTATATATTTGGATTAATTTCTTACTCTTTTTTTTTTTTTAAGGAGATTTTCAAATACGTACAGTATCGACAATTTTTCCCAAAAGAACAAAGCAATTTCTTACCATCTAGGGTTTCACACTGCACCAGGTTCAAGTAGTCAGTCTCTTTCAAGATTCCATTTTTGAAGCCTCTGACAAGGCCCTCAAGGTAGCCATTGTCTATGTTAAAAAGACTGTCCAACATTCTGCCTGTAAAAATTCATTGTTATAAGCAATTCGTACTGATTACGAAAAAGACCATCTTTCCATATACGTAGAGTACATTAGCATATCACAAAAAAAAAAAAACACAGGACAACACGGGTTTAGAGCAGGTCGCTCCTGCCTGTCCCAGCTACTGGACCACTATGACAAGGTCCTAGATGTTGTAGAGAATAAACAAAACACAGATGTAGTATACACAGACCTTGCAAAAGCTTTCGACAAGTGTGACCATGGTGAAATAACACACAAAATGCAGGATAAAGGAATAACGGGAAAAGTTGGTAGATTGATCTACAACTTCCTGACAAATAGAACACAAAGAGTAATAGTAAACAGAGTAAAGTCCCAGGCAGCCATGGTAAAAAGCTCTGTTCCACAAGGCACAGTACTCTCTCCCATTCTATTCCTCATCCTCATTTCTGAGAGATGTAAGCCAAAGCTCCGTGTCTTCCTTTGCGGATGACACCCGGATCACCATGGCAGTGACTTCCATCGAAGACACTGAGACTCCAAGCCGGACATCAACCAAATCTTCGAATGGGCCACTCAAAACAATATGAAGTTAAACAAGGAGAAATTTCAACTACTCAGATATGGAAAACTTGAAGAAATTAAAAATGTGTCAGGGTATACCACAAATTCTAACCCTACAATAGAGCGGAAAAGTAATGTGAAGGACCTGGGAGTGATAATGTCAGAGGATCTCACCTTCAAAGACCACAACAATGTATCTACCTCATCCGCTAGGAAAATGATAGGATGGACAAAGAGAACCTTCAAAACTAGGGATGCCAAGCCCATGATGATTCTCCTCAAATCGCTTGTGCTCTCTAGGCTGGAATACTGCTGTACACTAATGGCCCCCTTCAAGGCTGGCGATACTGCAGACCTGGAGAGTGTACAAAGAACTTTCACGGCACACACAAGTGCGATGAGGTACCTAAGCTACTGGGAATAGTTGAAGGTCCTTGATCTGTATTTCTCAGTAGTAGTACCAGTTATTGGTAACTGGTTACTAGGAACTGGTACTACTACTGAGACTCAGTAGTAGTACCAGTTCCTAGTTACCAGTTACCAGTAACCAGTGTACCAGTAGATGACCCACTACCAACCGTCTGTGTGAATCATTGACTGTATTCATATTGCTGCTGACCATAGCAGGATTTCAAACACCCTCACCCGTAGGCACTATGGGTCAGTCGTAGTAGGCAGCAGAGAGAGACAGGTCGGCTGTTGGCGCTTCCCATACTTCCCGATATATTTTATACGTACTACCAGCCTACGTGAGTATTTTTACCCATCCACGTATCGAAAACCCACATGACATATTCCCTTGAACGCAGGCGAGAGAGATACATGATAATATACACTTGGAAGGTCCTAGAGGGATTGGTACCAAACCTGCACACGAAAATCACTCCATATGAAAGCAAAAGACTCGGCAGGAGATGCAACATTCCCCCGATGAAAAGCAGGGGGTGCCACAAGTACATTGAGAGACAATACAATAAGTGTCCGGGGCCCAAGACTGTTCAACTGCCTCCCAGCATACATAAGGGGGATTACCAATAGACCCCTAGCTGTCTTCAAGAAGGCACTGGACAGGCACCTAAAGCCAGTACCTGACCAACCGGGCTGTGGTCCGTACATCAGCTTGCTTGCTGTCAGCAGTAACAGCCTGGTTGATCAGACCCTGATCTGCCATGAGGCCTGGTCTCAGACCGGGCCACGGGGGGCGTTGACCCCCGAAACCCTCTCCAGGTAAACACTACAGCAGTCCATGTGTCATGGTTTATTTGGTGAGTTACATTAGAACCAAGATGGGGTAAGCTAACATCTGCTCTATCCTGTTTGTACTCTAATTTTTGTGGATAAGTCATACAGAAAGTAAAAGATTTTACCTTTTACTTTTCCCTGGTACTAAATGACAAACTACAGTATGTATGTTAAGTTAGTACCTGGAGTTTGGCCTTGAGATACAGTGGAAACAAAATTAAAGTAGCAGAGTTGATAAAAACCTTGTACTAATACTGTAACAATACTCTGAAAAAAGAACACCTCATGTGGGTGAATCCATTTCTGCATTCTTTAAGATCCTTTTAGAATAATTTTTCAGGGCCCTGGGAACTTTTTTGGTTTCATTATATGTAGTTACTGCATTTTCTTGAAAACAAACTAGTAACTGATCTTGCTTAATTTGTTTTCATCAGGTCCAAATATAGGTAGTGATTTCTGGACTGTCATTTACATCTTTTTTGTAAAAAATGTCAACTAAAAGAATGGCTATTAATAAGCTGTCCCAAATTAGACTGAATGGACCTAACCTTCATACAACTCTTGACTGTGCACACCAAACCAGGCAGAAATCAAAATTGAGACCAATGACATTCCAAAACAGTCAACATTAAATTTTGTTCACAATCCTCATTAATGGCCTAGACTGATTACAATGCAACAAGTTCCTGATACAAAAATAGACAGAGGATAGTATGAATATTGTAAAGAAGTTGGATCACAGGAATTAGATAGTGTTGGATTACGAAATTCAGAATTCATATGACAGAGAAAGATTAGGAATTCAAGAGGGCAGCAGAGGGAGTGTTGAGGGCAGGGTTTGAGCATTTAGAAAACACAATAGATTAACCAAGAGGTGAGAGGAAGATGCAAATGTTTTAAGTGGTAGGGAATCATGCATCCGGTAGGCATGTGTAGCATGCTAGACAGGAATCGGTAGAGACAAAGTGTTAAGGATCTGACAAGTTACTGGAGTGTGAGGAAGGTAACATTCATGAAGAGATTCAGGGATACCAGTCAGTCAGTAGAGTCCTAGAGGTGAAGTAGTGCCTGCATTGTTAAGCAAATATGGGAATGCTGCAGACAGGAATTATTTGGTATCCCAGGAGTACTACCTTTAAGTGGTTGTTAATTTTTTCTTCATCCAAGGTTTTCACAAATAATTTGAGAATGCCTTGTCTGACTAGCTACAAATATTCAACATTGGTTTACTTTAATTGGAAAAGAGATTCGTGCAACTGCTGGCAGATACAAAAGAAAGAGGGGACACTGCAGCAAGCCCAACGGCCCATGTTAGGCAGGCCAGTGGGCCTGACAAAAATGATTAGTAACTTTATTTAAGTACAAGTACACAAGTATAGTTACACAAATTTAGGTGACTACAATTTTCATACACAGTAAAGTGTAAATTACCTAAGATAAAAAAAAAAAAAAAAAAAAGTCAGATGAAGTGACTTTTTCCATTAGGATCCTTTTAGATCTTACTGTAATATCTTATTAGGCACGAAGAAACGCATGTCTATTTCGAACATTAAAATTTATTTTCCAGCACATCCTGCCACATAGTGTGGGCAACCTACAACCATGTAATATAAGTTACTGTAATTACACAAACTTCTACAATGCCTCCAGTGATAGAACGTACTTTCCGAGGTGGTAAAACCTTACAACTGCATACATTAAACATTTTTCTAGACATTCTACCAAATAGTGCCTAAGTGTGTGCAATAAGGCTAACAGATTACCTGGATTTATATTAAGATGTATAAGTAACAGGAATCCAAAAGTTATTTTACAGCACCATACATTACTAGCAAGACCTCACTTGGTTATGCAGCTCAGTTCTGGTCACCATACTACAGAATGGATATAAATTCAATAGAGAGCATACAGAGAAGAATGACAAAATTAACCCACTGTATAAGGATTCTCCCATAAGATACTTAGAACACTGAACCTTCACTTGTAGAATGAGAGGAAGCATTTAAGTATGATGGACAAAGATGATATAAATAAGGTACTAAGGATACTTAATCAAGTAAAAACCAGAAATAAGTTTTAAATTAGATAAATTTATATTTAGAAAGGACATATTATTATGGGGAGTGCTAAACCTGTAGGTATTATACAGCACCTGTGGGGGGTTGGGGAATGGAAGGTATTCAGGCTCAATTCAGGGAACTGGATGAAATTAAGACATGTGCAACATCTGGGTATCTTTATTGTAGACGTTTCGCCATCCAGTGGCTTTATCAATACAAATTCCAGGACATAACTTGAAGACAGTAGGACTATATACAGAAGATGAGGTAATCAGTCCCTCAACCTTGGAGTAGGTGCGAAGAGCACTATAGTCATGGAGATTCTGAAACAAGCAAAGAGCCTGGCGCTTATATAGTAACTTCAGGTGTAGCAGACGAGGGCATAGTCACTGGCAGGCGGGATTCCCCAGTGGAAGTAGGTCCTACCCAAAGAGATGGGTTAGTTGTAGTAGTAGTTGTCGTAGCCGTGAAGGTTATGTACATGTTGTCAGAATCAAGATTCCATGATGTTGGAGTGTCTGACAAGTTGTGTAAGAATGGTATATAATACCTACTGTCTTCAAGTTATGTCCTGGAATTTGTATTGATAAAGCCACTGGATGGCGAAACGTCTACAATAAAGATACCCAGATGTTGCACATATGTCTCAATTTCATCTTGTCGGTATTATATACCATTCTTTCACAACATCAGGGAACTGGAGCACAGATCCAATTCCCTAGATCAAGAGCCCCTCACCACCGTCAAGGAACCTCCCTCGAGGGTTTTCAAACAGTCGATACATGGAACAATAAAAGATGATTTTATTTCTTTGCAATGTTTGCGTGATTACAATTTTGACTTGTTAAGTACAAAGAAAGTCACTACCATGCCGGGGCATTTCAAGTAGGGCAATAGAGGCTAAAACCTTGGGTAGCTTTAGAGAGATATTGGACAGTTATATGAGTGAGAAGAGTTGGTTTGATTAGTACCCGAGGTACTTAAGGGAATTTTTGGATAACTTTGGAAAAAGGTTGAACAAAAGAGAAAGACTGCCTAGTATGGGCTAGTCAGCCGCTGCAGTGTCCCTCCAATCTTATGTTCAGTTCAGGCAACTTAGATCCATGTAATCTACGATATACAACAATTACAATATTTTACATAATTTTCGATGATTGAATATACTTTTATTGGCACTGAAAATTACGGACATTAAATATTTTCTGCACATCCTACTAAACAGTTCAGGGGACTCAAATAAGTTTATCCCGGTACAATTACACAATTGTTATAAGATTTAAACTGTTCTACATAGTAACATATGTCTAAATTATTTAGGTTAACCCAGAAAAAAGTCAAGTGGCATTTCCATCGGTGGTCCTCATAATACTTAACTATATAACGCAGAGTAATTACACACAATTCTAAGTAATCTAAGGCGATAAAACCTACTTTACGAGGCGATAATATCGATAAAACTACGAATAAAAAACGATAAAATTTGAGGAAATGTTACCTGAAGTAGCGTAGCAGGACTCTGTGATGTTTTGATGTGACTGACGATATTGATCAGCTGTGTCATATGACTACCACACTCTGGAAGCTCCTCTCTCATTGGTCACTCTCCACCCAACCAACAAATCACTAGCTTTCTCTTTTCTTGTGGCTACTCTATGTATGCTGCTGTCTCGTTGGTCACTCCTGACGCGATAGACCAATCACAGCTCTCCTCTCTCACTGTTTCTCTCCATTACCTCGATTCAATTCAATTCAATTTGGGCAAGGGGCACGTCTCCTTTAGTGAATGGTGGGTATGGTAAGGTTGTGTTTTATGTGATGTGTGAGTGGAGTATGTGAGGGCATCAATTTGAGACCTGGTTGTGTTCCTTGCGGGTTAATTCATCTTTTAATTCGGTCAAAGTCCTGATTTCAGTTTAGTTCCACATGTAAGTCATATTTTTTGGTAATTGGATAATTATTACGCTAATTGTCAGGGATTGGTGGCTTAGGTATCTGTTCTGGTGGTTTATATAAGGTTATGGGCCTTGTGATCATTTATACTTTATGTAAATTTGGTCCATTGTGTTAACAAGCATGTCCAAGGTTATTTTTTGAATTACTTTGGAATAGGTGTTTGGGTACGATAAGCTCGCTAAGTAGGTCAAGAGTCCGATATATGTAGGTCTAAGATTTAGCTGCAGGTACTTTTTATTGTTTTATTCAATGCCCGATTTATGTTTATTATATACTTTCTCATGTCAATGCATTGAGCAATTTAATTGTAACAATGATGTACTGTTGTGTTTCAAGTAGGGAGATAAGGATTTTATGTACTGTAACTAGACAATTTTGATACCTTATGTTAGGATTTTGTTTATTTGTATGGACTGTACTTGCATATATAATTTTGTCTTACTTGCGGGTGTTTCCTGTCTGAATGTTTATGTACCAATGTAATGTTTATTGTAGGCTTTGATTTGCCTAATGTTTAAGTTAATGTTCTGTATAATTTTAATTTTTGTATGTTGTATGATATTTACTGTGCACTTTGTGCAAGGGGTCTAATTGTACAGAGCTGTGGGGGATTTGTGTGTGCACAGACATAAATTGAGAGTTTTTGCTTTGGCTAATGTTATTTTCTGTGCTGGAGCTCTCTCGCTCTTTTATTCTCTTAAGCGTTTCCTGCTATTTGCGGGAAGTATTATTGTGGTATGTCTTTGCAATTTTATTGTAGGTTTAGGTTTGTCTTTTGTTTACTTTATTGTAATGTATAATTTTATCCTTCGTATGATGGATCATATGTTCTGTGTACTTTGTACAAGGGGGTCTTATTGTACAGTGTAACAGGCATGAATTATAGGTTTAGACTTTGTTAATGTATTTTCTGAGCAGGTGTTATCCTGTTTTTTTCATTGTTAGGTGATCGTATATCCTTTAATTAATGCGATGTGAATGTAACATTTAGGGTATGCTATGGGGTTGATGGTAGGCCATTGTATTTGCAAATGGCTACTTATTGTGTTATTTTATTTTTATTTATATCTTGTCCTGTATCTATTTAAATAAAAAACAATTCAATTCAAGTTTATTCTCTATAAGGGTTACAATGTGGGGTTCACAGGTTTTGGGTATTGTGTGGTTTACATGTTATAAAATACTAATTACAGAGGGGGCCACTAGGACACCTAGCATGGCTAGGCATTTCGGGCAGACTTAGATTAATTCTTAACATTAAACCCTTACAGTTTATGGTATTAAGGCTAAGTGACTCCCAAATAATTTGGATTTTAAAGGCTTATCGGAGAAATCATAGGCAAACTTAGACTATTTTAGGATTTTTTTATTTTAAGATTAAGATTAGAAATTTCTGGGTTATATCATGGGGGAGGGGTAATTGTGAACCACCAGGGGGTTAATGTAGTTAGTTTTCGGGGTGTATCGGGGAGATAAGATGTTTTCTAACTGTAGTTTTAAAAGGATGAAGGATCTGAAAGTTCAAAGATTTTCGGGTGGGGTTTTTTCCCAAGTTTTAAAGGGTCCTTTGAAATACATTGAATTTTTGTAAAGGTTTATCAACACGGGGAATGCCCAAAAGGGGATTTTTGTGCCCTGGTGTTTTATGACGGGTGGATTTTGGGTCACAACATCAAGAAAAGCATTTTAGTAAAGGGTTTAATGGGGGGAATTTAAGGTCCGTAGATATAGTTTTGCACAGTAATAATGTGGATGTTTTTTGAACGGGGAGTAGTTTACCGGGAAATTTTTACCTGGAGAGATTTCCCGGGGGGCAACGCCCCCGGGGCCCCCCGGGTCTGAGACCGGGCCCCCTGGGATCAGAGCCTGATCAACCAGGCTGTTGCGGCTGCTGCCCCAAAAACCCAAACCCGAAACGAGCCACACCCCGGGTTTTGATCCAACTGACTTTAGGTGCTTGTCCAGTCCCCAAGTTTTGAAGACTGCCGGGGTTTCTTTGGGGGAAAATTCCCCTTTGGTGCTGGGGGGCAGTTGAACAGCTGGGGCCCCTGACATTTAAATTGTAGGGTCTCTTAACGGTTTGTGACAACCCCTCCCTTTTCATTGGGGGGGGGTTTGCATCGTCTCCCAAGTCTTTTGTTTTTCGTAGTGATGTTTTTTCGTGTGAAAGTTGGGTACTAGTCCCCCCAGGTTTTTTTCCCAGGGGGTTATAATCAGGGTTATCTCTCCCCCCTCTTTCCCCGGGAATCCCAGGTTTGGGGAACCTCAAGCGCCCCCAAAAATTGAGGTTTTTTTTTCTCCGTTAGGGGCGCGCCGGGGAAAGTTCTCTGTACATTTTCTAGGTGGGGTTTTTTCACCCCCCTTGGGAAAGGGTGCTGTTAGTGTGCAGCAATTTCCAGCCTAGATAAAAACCCAAGTGACCTGAAGAGTGTCATCAGGGGCTTGGCCCCCCTATTTTGAAGGTTCCCCATTATCCATCTGTCATTTTTCTAGCAGATTTTCGATTGAACCCCAAAAAAAGTTATGGTCCTTGAAGGGGAGATCCTCCGACATGATCACCCCCCAGGGCCTTTTACGTTGGTGTTTTTGCTCTATTTTGTGGCCAGAATTTTGTAAACCGATGAAGAATTAATTTCCTCATGTTTTCCATATCTGAAATAATTGGGAAATTTTTTTCCCTCGTTGGGAAATTTATAATTTTTTTCTGCAGCCCACTGAAAGATTTTTGGGTTTATGCCCCCTGGAGCTTTTTCATTGGGCCCGCAATGGAAAAACCTGTCTCAGATTCAGGTGTCCCTCTGCAAAGGAAGAACGGTGCTGGGCTGACAAACCTTGTCTATGTCGGATATAAGGATGAGGAAAAAAGATGGGGGGCGAGTACTGTGGGCCCTTTTGGAAAAAACTTTTTACCGTAGCTGCCTTTTGACTTTACTCTGTTTTACGACTACTTTTCTGTTTTCTGTTAGTTTAGGGAAATTTTTAATCCATCGACCGACCCTTTTTCCCGTTTTTTCCTTTTGCAAACCCTTTTTTGCGCAAAAACGCCATGGTCACACTTGCGAAAGGGTTTTTTTCAAAGTCTGTTTTATTACATCCATTCTTTTTGCCCTTTTAGTGCATTTAGGACCCTTTTCCCTAGTGGGCCAAAAGGGTTTAGACCCGACAGGAGCACCCCGTTTCTAAAACCATGTTGCCCGGGTGTGTAAAATTATGGTTTTTTAGATGCGTGGTGATCTTGCTTCTTAGGACCCTTTCAAAAATTTTTTTTGAAGGGGGGTTGTGCTATTGGTCGTAGTTTTTTTGGGTGTTGCTTTTCCGCCCCCCTTTTTTGGAGTTGGGGGTATGTCGTTGTTTTTTGTAACTTTTGGGGCGAAACCCCCCTGTCCATGCTTCCCCTCTCCATAGGATGAAAAAAAGGGTTTGTGATAGGGGCTTCTTTCAGTTCTTGTGAACCAGAGTTCCATGAGTCTGGCCCCCCGGGGCAGAGTGGGAGGGCATGTCATTTTTTCGCCTGTTGAGTCCATTTGGCTCAGGATAACATCGGTAGGCTTGTGTTAATCAATTTGTGTGGCTCTCTCATAAAAAATCATTTTGATTTTCGACTCCATCTGTTTAGCGGCTTGCTAAAAACTGAGTCATATTGGGACTTGAGTGCTCACTCATTTCCTTGCTGGAGTAAGTTTAGATCTATGAAGAGTGGGGGGGGGGGTGTGTTGCCAGGGATGGGATTTAGTGATCATTCTTATTGCGGCTTTTTGTTGGGTTATTATTGGCTTTAGGTGTGTTTGCTGCAGTTGAACCCCAAGCACAGATAGCATAGGTGAGGTATGGATATATAAGTGAATGGTATAGTGTGAGAAGGGCAGTTTGCGGCATGTAGTATCGTATCTTGGAGAGGATCCCCACCGTTTTGGATACTTTTTTTTGTTGTGTTGGATATGGGTGCTGAAATTTAGGTTGTTGTCGAGATATAGGCCAAGGAATTTGCCCTCATTATGTCTGGCAATTAGTGTTGTCGATCTTAATGTTAAGTTGCGCAACACCTGCTCTGCTACCAAACATAATATAGTAGGTTTTGCCAGTGTTAAGTGTAAGTTTATTGGCTGTCATCCAAGTCGATATTTTGAGCAGCTCCTCGTTAACAATGGTGTTGAGGGTGGCAAAATTAGGGTGGGAGATGACATAAGTCGTGTCGTCAGCAAAGAGAATGGATTTCAGGTGTTGGGATATGTTTTAGGATAATGATCATAATATAATAGTAAGTAAGTTTATTCATGTACATTTTTGTCTGAACTGGCTGCTTCACCATGCCTTACCACACTGTGTATGCCACTACGAATCTTAAATCTCTCAAACCAGCCTTTGCTGGCCTTAAATTCATCAGCAGCAGCACTGTTTTGAGGCATTTTCTTAATGAGATCATCATGCAACTTCCTTGCCTTTTCACAAATTATAGACTGAGAAACACTATCACAATAACAGTCTCTCTACCTCTTCAACTATTTGTGGTCTCCATTTTGAAAACATACTTGAACCTTTCACAACAGCTTCCTTGATTGCCTGTCTGTTCGCCAAGATAGTACTGATGGTTGAATGTGATTTGTTGTATTGCCTTTCCAACTGAGCATACACACTCCACTCTCATATTTTTCAGTGATCTTCATTTCCATCATAATTCTCACCCTTT